TAACTTCCTTTCACCTCCTCCTCCCTTGCCACGCCCCCTTTTCACAAAAGTATGCAAAACTTGACGCCAGAAATTAACAGCCCCGCCAGAAATGTCTTAATATACATATTCAACGATTTGGCGTTCGTCGTCAGCTTTTTGCGGGGGGCAGAGTGGGGACTTCCCCTCCCTTTTTGGCGCGTATAATTTATGCGCGTTTTAATTTCATTTGGTGCCTAACAAATGCCACGCCCCCTCGCTTGCCACACCCACCCGCCCTGCCGTCAATCGCCCAAATATGTTATTTTAACACCTTCAAGGTTGCGCCCCTCAGACACAAAAAGCGGAGAGCTCTGCCTGCCATCGTCCTTTGGATGGGTCGCAGTGGTGGCCCGGGTCTGGTGGCAGGAATCAATATGGCAACAGCTTGTTTTTATCCTTGTGGCAAAGGATATTAACAGATCCCTATCGCCAGCTAGCTGTTGTAACGGCATTAAGTAATTTACATACAAATTGTGCAAAAGGACGATGTTGATTCATTTGCCAGGAATTCAAAGTCAAGGCTGGGCCAGTGCAAGATCTACTGGATATACTTCCGTGATTTTGTGTTTGAAAACAGTTTAAATTAGTTTGAAATATATTAGCTGGAATTTCTCGAGTTTTCTATGCGCTTCTATTCCGTTTTGTAAATTTTTTAATATATTTATCTGATTAAATTTGAATGTTTTTAGCGTTTTAAATTAAAACAATAAGTTTTTTGTTTATTATATCATATAAGACTTATATTATGTTTATTTAATTATGTAAAATAGTTATTAGACATTCGGTTATATATAAAAATATTAATTATTTTAATCATTACATATAACATGCTTGACATCTGGCGAAACTATTTATATTTATATTTAACTTTTAATCTATACATATATTTATCATAATTATGATATTAATTAATTATTTAGCAAATAAAAAAATTAAAAATTTAATGAATACATTTATAATAACAAATAAATATATATCACATATGCCATATATGTATTTAAGCAGTTAATATATTAGAATTAGTTTTATTAAATTTGTATAAAATTTTAGATGAGCCCATGGAAACATATTGATATATTTTTTAATTTTATTATTAATGACTCAGCATTTCAATTTACTTATATTTATATCATATTTATACAAATACTTCCGCAGCTAAATGAACTGACTCGTTCTTTTATATTCGTATCAAATGAATGTGAATCCATTTTAAGTGTGTCTGTGTATATACATACATACATACGTATGTATTAGGAAAACGCACTCTAGATACAAATTATTTTGTAGTAGCGCGGCAAAACTTTTAACAATTTGACATTACTCTTGCCACAGCTGTAAGGAAATAGCATTCTTCTGTGAACAAGTGTATGCCATACAAATCCGAGTGTGTATGTGAGCACTGAGAGTAGAGAGTATTAAAGTATCAGAGAGAAGGAGAAGTCTTTCGACTTTGTGGAGAGAGCCTGTGGGAAGGAATGTTAGCAAAGCGCATAGATTATAAACAAAAATACTAAAATAGACATTCTGTTCACATTTTGCAAAATAGAGTATCTACTAGTCAGTCATTTCCAGCGTATGCAGAAATCTTTTCACTTAACTTTGTTCGTTTGCTCACAAAATTCTGCAGAAATTGAGGGCACAAAACAAAAATGAATTCTAGCTTAATTAAAATTTAATTATATCATATTCTAGACTAATTTCTTGAAATTACGAAAATAATTCATGCAATCTTGATTGATTGATTGATTGAAGCGCTTCTCAGTTGAGCGCCACCTTTTCGCTGTACTGAGGCGGCGGAGTCGATGGATAAGATTGCTGCCAATTGTTGGGCTGTTATTGTTGTTGTTGTTGTTGTTGCCGTTGTTGTTGCTGTTGTTGTTGTTGCTGTTGTGGTTGTTGTTGTTGTTGTTGTTGCTGTTGTTGTTGCTGTTGTTGTGGGGAGTAGGCCGGTGGAGCTTGGCGCTGCGCTGGCTGGGGCATGACAGCATACTGAGTGGTCCGTGAGACCACAACGGGCGCTGTCCGCATCGTGGTCACGCACTGGTTGACGCCCACGACACCTGTCGCAGGTACTACTATTACGTTGCCGTTCCTCATGCGCCGACACTGCTCGCACGGACCCCACAGCCAGCCAAACATGGCGCCCAGCAGTCCGCGCCGATGATAGCAATCGCAGCCCACAATTGTGATCTGCTGCACCTGAGCCATGTTGCGCCTTGAGTCGATTTCACCTGTGCTTCGCGATTCGAACTGAATGCCAAATGCGACTCAAGTCTCTTATTTATAGACCCCGTCGAGCCCATGTGTCTTATCAGCTATCATTAAGCTCTTATGTCTGATAGCACTAGATATTCACAGTGATTCATATTCATATTCAAGTTAAGATAACGCGAGTCGCACGCAGATCTACGGGCTCTGAGGGGGTTTTTACTTATATGCGTTGTATAATGAACGTGCAATGATTTATGGTCGCAAATAGTTTACAATATTCATTTGAAATTATTATTAT